AATTTTCAATGGGACGCATGTTAGAGGAATTCGGTAGGAGACAGAGGAGAGACTATCCAGTAGGAATTGTGAGGGGGAAATCGTACTTTACCGGCTTCTAGCTTTATGAAGGAGAAAGGCATCCTAATATGTTTCGAAAGTCATAATTACCGATCTACATCTATAGTCAGGCAGATACTGTCGGGACGATATCCACTGCTGCCATGACTGATGGAAGATAGATTGAATTTCATGAAATTGTTACAAAGGACGATGTCCAGTGGTAATCAATGGCTTTTGACAGTCTTGGTGCCAAAAAACGGCCACAATGAAGATATTTAAACACTTTGATCCATTCGTAATTTTGAATGTTGGGCAGATAGATGCCTCGAATGATATTTTATCAAGTGTTCGTCTGTACTGATTTGCTTACTGGCAAGCGAATAAAGCATATGTTCTGGATCCTGCTTAGCAGTAGACTACCTGTCATTTTGAGGATGCTGCAAGCACTAAATGCGATGACAGTTCAACAGCGCTAGCAGGAGCAAGTGGGTAGTATGGGTACTGTTTACAATGCCAAATTAGTAGAGTTGTCTGTGCAACCTCTGCGTGTGAACTCCTTCCTGCATTTCACGCATTCGGAGACATTGACAAGCACAAACGTGTAGTGCTGCAGACTATGCGATTTCGAGGCATTCGCAGGTTCCGTTTTCCAAGAAATGTCAGGCTCCTATAACTGTACTAGATGAGGAGATTCAAGTCAAACTGAGAATGTCGCAAACATCAAGTGGAATGACATAAATGCACAGGCGACGACTGTACGACGAATGCAAGCATGCCTGAATGCAGAGGGCGTTAATCAGTGTGCTCAGTGTATCACCTATATCACCTACATGCGGCCGCGACTCCCCAAAGTGACCTAGATGCCTTATATCTGGAACTTCATAGATCGGTAAAGGCTTGAACACTGATTTTGGATACGCTCCAAAGCTTAACGTTATCAGTGAACATGGTGACATCAAAATTCAGTTCACCGACGCCGTCTTTGACGTATATGATGAACAGCGTAGGGTCAAGGACGGTATCTTGCAGAACACATTTTTCAACCGCTACCTCTGCTGACTGCCTGTCAACGACGTGGACAATTTGAGAGCGACCGATCAAGAATATTTGGATCCACCTCAAGGAATTACCGCCAATGTCTATTCGGCTTAATTTGTACAGGAAATGTTGATGTGGTACACCACCGAAGTCGACCTAGTATGCGTGCACTGCATTACTGCCATCAACTTTCTGGATCCAGCGTCCTAAACAATAACGTAGGTACGCCGCGTCCCGAGGATTAGTCTCTTAACTAGGTGACTGTGTGCCTTGTATGCATTTATCCACACAGAGCTCCTCTCCTCCATAATTTCCGCTTTTTATTGACTTCTTTTCTTAGCTTGCGTTAGCCAGGAAGGTCTGTTGCTCAATTTCCTCCGGCAAATAGGAGAGTGGTCTCTGGGAAGAACCTGCAATAACTCACTAAAGCAGTTCCAATCCTTGATCATGCCACCGGAAAAAGCTGATTCCCAGTTTATGGTGTTTAGTTAAGCTTCCATTTGGGCAAAGCCGCCGCGCCAAATGTTCCTTCTAAGTCTCGTGTCCTGTTCGGGCAGAGAAGGATGGAGTGCTGTCACAACAGTACTACGTGGTCGCTTCGACCTAGGGGAGGTAGACACTGCAACTCATCGATGCTGTCTAGCGACTTCGTAAGGACCAGATCCAGACAGTTTGTCCGTTGCCCTTCGCGCACCCTCGTCGGAAATTAGACGTGTTGAGTGAGAAATAACCTGAGCTTCATGTCCAACAAGCGTCGTTCGAAAGTATGGTCTGGACCAGATGCATTGGCTGAACTCCGGTCAACATGAGGTGCATTGAAGTCTCCCGTGATTAAGATCTCGGACCGAATAGAGAATCTCTCCAGGTCCTCAATCAGATGGGCGTAGTTCGTGGGGTGATTTCTCGGCTGTCGGTGGACTGTCAGCACGTCGAGGCTTGGTGAACCCGGGGCTTTTATAGATAGCCAAATTGCCTCAGAAGTACACGCAAAGTTATCTGACGACGGGCTCGTGGCCCGGTGAGTAGAGGCGTTGACTTCTAAACCAACAGGTCGCGAGTTCG